CCCTAAACCCTAAACCCTAAACCCTAAACCCGTAAACACCTAAACCCCTAAACCCCTAAACCCCTAAACCCTAAGCCCTAAAAAAAAACCCACTTGAAGTTCCAGGAGGTCGCCCCGCAGGAACGACGAGAGCCGGGGTCTCAGCGCTCCGATGTCAGTTTGGGTTTAGGGGTTTAGGGGTTAGGGGTTTAGGGTCTAGGGTCTAGGGGTTTAGGGGTTTAGGGTTTAGCGGTTTGGGGTTTAGGGGTTACGGGTTTAGGAGTTTAGGGTGAAGGGGTTCTCCAAATTCGGATCCCTTTCTAGGATTCCTTGAAGGGGTCCATAAGGGTTTCTGTAAGAGTACTACATGGGTTCTAAATGGGCCTTTCTAGGATTCCTAAAAGGGTTTCTACGAGGGTACTACATGGGTTCTATATGGGTAGTTCTCTAAGTTTGGGTCCCTTTTTGGGTACCCAGACAGTACTGCACCCTTACATAGAGGAAGCTTGAACGGGACCCTAATTTAGAGAACTACAAATTTGGCTAAAATATAGGGGCTGGTGACGGCTAGTGCTTTAGTTACCGATTTATCCATTAGGGATCTCCCAATGTAGTTATGGTTTAATATAGCCGCCAACCCTTTCAACCGCTTGAGGCCCCTCTATGCGTCTCAGACGATGACGACTGCTACTGCTGCTACTGCTACTCCTACTCCTACTACTACTTCTACTCCGACTCCTACCCCGACCACTACTAACTGTTACTAACTATCACTACCTACCATTTACTATTACTTACTATTACCACTACTGGGCGGCCTTGCTCGTCTAGTTCCGTGAGAGTCTACACCCCCACTGTATGCCCCAGCTTCTGGTCCTCTGGTGTAGACTTGGGCCGACTCTCCGGTTCAGGGTTTAGGGTCCATCTACATCCCTCGAAGCCTTTTAGGTGCACAACGTGCAAGCTGCAGGAGTTGGGATACAGAATGATACAGACAGCTAGGCATGCTGGGCCGTGGATTTGCCGGCTGAGGCTCTTCTATGACCCTCTCATTCTCTTAGCAGTCTTAGCAATTTGAAGTTTCACCCTGTTACCAGGGGCTTGTCTGCTGGCCGTCTTCTAGACATGCACATATTGCTGCCGTACAGTCGAAAGAGCAAAAAGCCCTGAATTCTTTGACCGCGTGGAGCCCCGAAGCCAGAGCCCCTGAAGTAGGGGTTTCCGAAAATCGGGGACCCTAATATAGTACCCTAATTATAATAGGATCCCTATTATAAGAAGGACCCCAAAATAAGGTACCCCCCATTTTCGGAAACTCGCAAGTGTGGCACATTGGAACCCCGGAAAGACGGCCAGCAGCCGGCCCAGCCACGCACAAGACTCGGCGCGCTAGCGCGGTATCCCGCAAGGAAGACGTGACGTCATCGCTTGACTGGAGAGACAGGAAACACGAGGGGTGGAGGCTGCAGGGCTGCTGAACCTATACGCCTAGAACTGAGGCTTTAGAAAGAGAAATTGTAGTCAACAACTAACCAACAATCTGACGGAGTCCCTCCAACACTATGTCTCCAGGTTTGTATTTCATGTTTGTTGGTGGCTATGGTCGTGCGTCTCGGGGCTGCAAGCTGCCCAGTAGACTTGAAACGTGATGACTTCCTCGTTTTGAGAATTCAGCCTCCCTTTCTGGATCCTTAGCAACTTGTCGCAGGGTCGTGTTCTGGCAGCCAGCACTCCCAGCTTCAAATTGTAGGGGGATGACTGTTAGACCCTCATGGGACTTTCTTTCAAAAAGTGTTTCCAGTTTCACGAACGTTTCGATTTGGGATTTTTAGGCGAGATTAGCAAGCCTGAAGGGTTTTTCGCGTTAGCTTCAGCTGAGGAAGATGCACTCATAGTTTGTTCGTTCATGGGGCTTGACGAGGCTTTGACAGCTTCAAACCACCAAGCCCTGAACTCAAAAGACTTAGACCCTAAACCCTAAACCCCCAAACCCTAAACCAAAACACCCAACCCTGAAGCCGCTCAAAAGCTGAACATTTAAGACCTAATATAGGGGATTTTAATGATTACCTATACTATTTTGGAGGTTCCTTACTAAGAGTATAGTATAATATACCCCCAAACCCTGTTCTAATTATTAAGGCCCCTATATTATAGGGGTTGGGACTTACGAATCTGCCCCTTTCAGTTTTATTGCCAGAGATTGCTGCTACCGCCACCACACAGCTCGTGCAAGCCGCGCGGCCCAAAACATGTACATGGGGGGTTCTTACGTTAGGGGTCCCTGGTTGGGGGGGGAGGTTCTTACACAAACGATCTTGGCTTTTAGGGCTTCCATTGGAGTTCCTTGTGCTCTGAAGCTACCGTATCATGTGAAAAACATATACGTCTATACACGTGCGTACTCATACACAGACAGGTGGACGTATGGACACGAGGGTGCAAACAGAGAGAGAGAGAGAGAGAGCGGGATAGAAAAATAAGTATTTATACGCACGCATGACATGTGAATTTGTTGGTATATAGCTTGAGTTCAAACAGCACGGATCAAACTTCACAGAGGCCATGATGCCGAGATGTTTCCATATTGCATGGCATTGCACTCCATCGCCCCTTCAGCCGAAAGCTTGGCCTCAAACACTTAGATTTGGGCAAAACGTCCAAACAGGAGCACCCATAAGTGCTATTACTTAGAGGGTGCCCTCTAGGAATTGATCCTCTGCCGTGGATCCTGCATGAGCTGCTGGCTGGCGGGCTGCGAGGACGAGCCGCGGCTGCTTCGCTGCGGCCGCCATGACCTCTACGTGTCTCAGATCTGTTTGTGGCGTTAGGAGTCGGGGTTTCCGGTTTAAGGGTCTGACATGGGGTTCAGGGTCTAACGTTTGGGGTTGATGTCTGAAGAGTTTGGATTCAATGGTTTGGGAATTGATTGTGGTAGTCATGGCGAGGTTCACTTCCTTGAGTGCTCTTTTTGTGAAGCATCTTCCAATTTGTCCAAAAATGCGCTGCGCAACAGCAGATGGCGCCCCAATCTTTTCTTGCCTTGAGAGGCTCCCTGAATGCACAAGCCAAGATAGAATCCTCAACCCTAAACCCTGAATCCTAAACCCTAACCCCTAAAGCCTAGATAAGGCGTGACGGAAGTATGAGGAGCCTTGCCTGCGTATGCGAGGGTGTAAGTCGAATCCCTAGATAAAATCCCTTTGACTCAGGGCTTCGAGCTAGTCTTCGAGACGAACACAATTGGCGTAGGGAGGTCTTCCGGGCCCTGTTTGTCAATTCATGCCCAATGCCATTTGGGAGTTTCCGAAAATAGGGGGTACCTTATTTTGGGGTCCTTATAATAAGGATCCTATTATTTGGGGTACTATATTAGGGTCCCTATTTCCGGAAACCCCATTTCAGCCTTTACATGAGGGTTTTGGGGTTTTGGGTTAGCTCAGCCAGAAGCGCTGGAGTCTGAATCTTGGCTGAAGGGATTCAGGGCTTAGTGCATTGCAGTCCCTGCTCATAAAGGGGTTTAGGGTTTAGGGTACCCGGGTACCTGATGTCAATGATGTAACACAGCATTCTGAACCATGTCATGCTACGCTTAGACATTGTCCCTCGCCTGAAATGGAAACCGAAGCCGGCCAATCCCGGGATGCTTCATGCGGCACTGCTAGACTCTGTGCAAACAGTGCTTCGGCCCCACGTGCCACTGACCAAGGTATGTAGCTGTGATCATCACAGCTGCATCGAATGCCCGCGCTGTGGTGGGCCTTTAGAGGAACTCCAAGAATCCCAAGAACCACCAAGCCTCCAGCAGCTCCGAGCATCGCTGCGCGAGCTACTTCACTCCACCAAACTGGCGCCTGGGCCGCAGGTTTTCTGTAGAATCACTAAGTGAGGTTGAAATGAAATGAGTTTTCCGTTGAGTCCTTTTTGATCTCTTCCTGGTTTGCAAATGACATTACATCCGATCTGAGGTACCTTCCACAAACTACCTCAGGGTTCTGTATCCGATCGAGGACTGGCTTTGGGGGTAATCTCCCCCGCCTCCAGAATCCACAGTTGAATCCGAACAGGCGCAAAGCCATGACAGGTTTCGGTTGCATGTGCACTGCAGACCTTCCTCGAAAAAAGATCTTTCGTGCGGTGGTGCGACTTGTCACGCAGGAAACCGGAGTAGCGTGCAAACGGCCTCAACCGAAACAAGAAGATGCCAAAATCTGCGCTGCTCCAAATTCGCGGCTGAAGATGGTCAACCACAGCACAATCAACTGCAGCACAAGCCCTAGACAGACCGTGAACCCTGAACCCAACCCTAAGGCAAAAATCAGCACGATAGAGCAGGGCACCACGCAGCTGATGCGGCTGCTGCAGGAGCCGGGTGTCAGTGGTTGTTACGCTCAGGGCTTTGGGGTGTGCCCAGAAGATCCCAAACCTAGCAGAATCCCTGTAAAACACAATTCCCCAGACATCTTATGGAGCAAATGTTTGTGCTTGCAACAGCCGGGCCTTTAGCAAGTGAAGTGGAGCGATTTCAGCTTCAAGTACCGGGTTAGTCGGTCGTCGTTGTCGTCCGGTTGGTTGGGAATGACATGGCTGTTTCAATCATTCTTTACTCTCTCCTGCCTGCGCCTGTCAAGATTCAACCCGAAGCTCAAAATCCCCATGTATGCCGACATCAGTGTAAGCTCCGAATCCCTTCAGCTTCGCCCCCAAAGCTCATCAAGGACCGCAATCTCGCCCTCACCGAGCGCCAGCGCAATGCATTGCAGTCTGTGGCAAGACGCAGGCCCCCAGCACTCTCAACATGAAAGTGAGCCGGTCTGCTTTAAGAGCCTCCATATGGGGTCTCTGCATGTGCCATTGGAGTGTGACGTAATCTGCGGGGGGTCCAAAGAAGGATCCTAATCTGAGAGCCTTGAAGTTTCCCGACTGTCAGGATTTGTTGGAGAGTTTGGGTGTTGACCTATGGTAGGTGTTAGTAACGAGCAATACTATCCGTAGTTACTTATCCTTACTTGCACTCAGACTATCTTGCACTAGGACTCGCACTGCTATTGCACCTGTCATATTTCACATAGTCGCTAGCCCCTAGTATGAACAGCTTGTGGCGTTAATGGTGTTATGTGAACTAACAGTCGGACTTGATTTCGTACTTAGCAATGTTCACTCTATCCGTAGTATTGCTGTTCGCATGTTGGTAACATGGGCAGTGCAAGCCGCTATGATGAGCCTCTCAGGCGATTGCTGATGATATTTCGGGGGAGAGGGTTTCTCCAGAAACTAGAAGCACAGCCTGAACTCTGCAAAGCAAACCACCTTAATTCTTCGGCATAAAAGCTCGCCTAGGCATACGCTGGGCGAGTTTGTTCTGCACGAGGAGCTGCAGAACAAATTCAATCAGCTGGGGCTATAAGAGGCGGGATATCACAAGAGCATGCAGAATTTAGAAGAGAAAGAGTGGCAGGAGCTTTTGCATCATCAGCATCAAGGTTGCGAAAAGAGTATAATTAGACTGCAACTGAGGACACACACACAGAGTGGCCGATGCTATTGACGGCGATGGTTTGGTGGTGCTGCTGCTGCCGCTGCCCGGCATGTTGATGGTGATGGCGAAATTGTTATTGGCAGTTGTGATGATTGCGATGTTCATCTTCATAATGATGACGATGCTGCTGATTCTAGTCCTACGACACTAACTCCTGTAAATAAGGTGATTTTTAAAATCAGTGGAGGGCGACCAAGCCCCCGAAGCCCCGGAGCCACTCCTCCACCCACCCCAACCCACCGCCCCTCCACCTCCACCACGCCTTCTCCATCAACCCCACCCTCCCCACCCAACCTCCACCCCTCCCCCCCTCCACCCCGTTTTCACCCAAACCCAGTGACAGTGTCCACGACTAAAAGTTATGCCCCAAACTCTCAACCTCAACGGGTGGGTTGCAAAATGTGTTGAAAGCACACAGGTTGTCGTGAAGCCTCCAGGTCCAAATTACTCGGAACTTCTGATGTGCCCCCCTGAACAACGGGAAAGGTTTAGGCCTCAGTACATCGGCAATCTGAAACCGTTTGGTCCTATATAAACCTGCAGCGACCCAAATCTGAGAACACCCCAAACCCTATATCATATTATGTCTAATTGGCAGCCCCCGAGTCACGGCCTACACCCCCAAAACACAACGCCCGACGCCACCCTACTGTGAAAGATAGAAATCGTTACCGGCCCGGTGTTTTGCCAGCGGTAAGGGGGTAATAACACAAATAAGAAGGCGTCACCTTTGGCGGTGGCGTTTACATGGGGCTTCGGGAGTCAAACGCAGCAGGCAACCCCAACTTTAGTACAAGGGGAGGGCTTAACTCGCACCTGGAAAGGAAGAACACATCTCACAGCGTCCACACTGGGGACAGGCAATCGGAGACCAGCCTGGCATGTATCCAAACACCAACCGTTTCAGCGACCACACTGGGGGGTTAAGCCACCTGTTGTTGCATGTGTTGTAAATTAGAAAGGGGTGAAGGGCTAGAACGGGCCGCGTGGAGTGGCCGAGGTCGGAGGGGTCGGTGGAGGTGGACGGGTGGAGGCGAAGCCAACGGAGGTAGTATAAAAAATTGTGTAGGTATTGAAAGATCTGCATATTGAAGAACAGTCACCGTATGTGTTTCACCAGACACAGGGCACAGCACAATCCACGGAAGCTGCAGAGAAGCAATTACTTGAGAACACGTGCCGTCAGCTGTCGTCGGTACGGTAGTTGGAACCTCTAGCACACAGGGACATTGCGCTGCTGCAGCGACCTCGAGCCAAAGGACGAGGGAACAGGAGGTCAGCCAGGCGGGGCGTTGCGTACCCTTCGCTCAGAGTTACCTGCCAGGGATTCATGTGCTTAGAGGGCTCCAGGATGTCGGAAAAGTCAATTCTCATGTCATCGTCACGGATGCGACGAGCATTATGGGTTGGCATCATGTGGCTGAGGCTTCTCGCCAGCCGGGGTCAGGGCCTCAGGTGCGGCCTTTAAGCCTTCGTTTCAGCGTTTGGAGAGCCCACGACGAACAGATTCATCTTTCTGCATTTTTCTGGCAAAGGCTGCGACTTGAGAGGGTGACTTTATGTGGATGTAGATGTTGTAGCATTGTAGCATGCTGTCGGAGCAAGAAGTACTTTAGCGACTCCAGGTCTATCATTCTCACTGTATGCCATCATTGTACTTCAAATCAGATGAAATTTTGTGCATCATATAAACTTACAGTAGAGCCTATCGAAGTATTCGAAAATCTCGCTGTTGGCATTCTCGCTTGCAGAGGAACAGTAGCGGCCCGACATAATCAGTAACTGGTAACAAGACTGTGGTTGGACCCCTGCAGCTCAAACCTGACGTCCCCACAGATCCCAGATCTGCTCATAAACACGGGGGAGGGGGGGGAGGGGGGGGGGCAGCCAGTGATTCAAAAAGGGCTCAGGGCATAGGGTCCGAGGTCTGCCCAAGCGGCCGGCAAGAAGTCGAAGAGGCGAGTGCAATTTGCTGGCTTAGCAGGGCGAACTCTAATTGCAGTACTGCAGTCCTCGACATGGTAACATGCATAGCATAGGCGAGTGTTGTGGGGCCTGGATTTTAACTTATTGTTGGTTGGAGCGAGCACATGAGTGGGTTGTTCGGGGCTCGCCGTGTGGACGTCCTGCTTGAGAGTGATGCTGCTTGGAAGGGTTATAATAATTAATTAAGGTAACTATACTTATATTTACTTATAACCCCAATTAAGGGGCTTATAACCTTGCTTAGTAAGTCCCATGATCCTCCAAAGTAGGAGCACCAAACCTCCGATGCCCTCGGCTGCGGCTTCTCGAGGCTCGGTGTTCACGGTTTGGGCTCGGACCCCCATACCCACAAGAACCGGGGAAGAACCGGGGAAGACGGAAAAGTGCATGCGCTGAGGTGTAGTACAGCTGCAGTGTTTGATGCCTACAACGACAACCCCAATATGTTGCAACAGCATCTTGGTCTTAGTACCAGAGTAGGAAACCTTTAGCCTTTTAAATGGTGCCACAATCCCTGAATGATCCCAAACTTAGCTTTTGGTTAGGTTACTGGGTTAATAAGGTGTTATATCTTGGAAGGCAGCCTGAACGCTGAACTTCTGCCATCATGGATTCCTCGACTCAAGGAACGGGACAGAATCGTGTCGGTTGAACGGGTCCGGGCGATATAATCTTGAATATTGAGGTAGGATTCTGTTTTATGGACCCTAAATATAAATTCCCGCGCGCACTGCAGAAGCATTCCTTGTAGAAGCACCTTGAATGAGGTACCCAGAGCCCCCTGAACCCTAAACGCACCAACGGAGTCACGATGGAGAGCCGGGATTGTTCTCATGCCCGCGTGCTTTAGCCTTCAGGGAATGAAGCTGAAGGTTTAGTAAAGAGTAAGCCCAGCTTCGGACCTAATCCCGAAACCAACTATATCAAGTTAGATTTTCTTAGACTATGTCAATGTTGGACTATTCTGGATCTTTATATAGAACATATAGCAGATTTTATGACTCTCGCCACGCAAGCACAAGCATCGCCATCAACTCAGCTGTTGACGACTACCGCCCATTCTTCATCAGCTGCTGCGCCACCCTGGCAGCAACAATGAGTGCGGCAAGAACCCGTCATGAGCAACAACTGGCTGTTGTCATGTAGCCGTGTTACATCTTTCAGTCCAAGGGTGCCAAAAATTGAAAGCACAGGTGTTAGTGAACCATTTCTTGAGGCGGTCGTGCTGGCAACTGGAAGTGATGCGATTCGTTGACTGACGGTCATCATTATAGTTATAGTTACCGATGAGGCTTGCCGCATTTTGCTTTATGCCTCTTGACTGCTGTGGGCGGTCTAGATTCTAGTTTTGACTTGACACACAGAAAGTTCGCAACAGGCCACAGGTTTACTGAGCGCGGCAAGGCCTCATGCAGTTTTACGACGGCTGTGGTGCCGATTAGTGGCTATCTTCTTTTCTTGGGTGACTGCGTTT